ATTCCTAATGATTCATCTAAATTATTTTTGAGTGATGAGAGGTCTCGCATGGCGTCGGCTTCCATTTCATCAAATTTCAAATGTCCCTGTACCGCTAAAAAAGTTAATAACTGCTAAAAATAAAACCTTATTGCACGTCTATGTAGGATCCCAGTTCTTTAATTTGACTTCTCATATTGACCTTCAAAGAAAAAAAATAGATGGCGATTCTAATAAAAAATATTGTCAGCCTAAATTTTTCTTTAAACTCTTTCGTGTTGTGTATAAGTAAAACAAATTCGACTTTTTAAACAGGTGGCAATTCCTTTAAAATTATTTTCAAACTAAAATCTTTCCATTGATTTCAAATTATCAAATAATTTTAATTTAACCCTTTAAACTGGGGCAACCCTCAAACACATAAAAAATATTCTAATTTTCAAACTAAAGATTTTTTCAATCTCTTTCATTTGATATCCATTTTTGTTATTTCATATAACTTGGGTATATAATAATTTAATTCGACTTCTCAAATAGGTGGCAACCCTCTTTAAAACATTTTCAAACTGCTATCTTCTTAAATCTCTCTTCTCTGATACCCATATAGTGATACCTTATTCACCAGCCAAATTCCTTTAATTAAAATTGAATTACATTTATTAAACATGTGGCAATCCTCCTACACGTACTTAAGATATAAAACCTTTTTAAAACCATTGCGGTTGATAGCCATATTGTAACAATTGATTTAACTTTTTAAATAATTTGAGCTTAATTTCTTAACAGGCGGCAACTCTTTTCGAAAACATTGAACATCCACATCATAAGCCCTTTAATTTCACGCCTCACTTTTGAAAATCGAACGAATGGTGCGGAACTGAAGGCATTGATGGCATTGATTATTAACTTGAGTTTAATTATTTAACAGGTGGCAACTCTTTCGAAAATTAGTGTTGTTGATGTTTTGGTTTCGTTAAGTATTATTATTGTAAGTCTCTTGAAGAGAAACAGAATTTTCCGATGGAAAAATATTGATTTCATTAAGAAAAGTTGTTTTTTCCCTTGCATAAAATAGTACATGGAAAACTTTGAGTTCTTTGAGCGACCTCTAAATATTTTTTGATTTCAAAATAAAAAAATGTGGGATATATTTTTTCGGTATAGAACATTCCTACGGATGAGGGCGTTAGAATTCCGATTACTTTTTTGACCACCCTAATGTATGTACTAGAGGTATACGCCGCCGAGCCCCGCCGCCGTTTTTTGTCAATCCTCACGCGCCGCCGCCGAGTAACGAAAATATCGGCGCGGCGGCGGCGGCGGCGGCGGCGGCGTTCGGCGCCTAAGGAATTTTGTACAAAATTTTCATGATGTACATTGAATACATCGTTTGAAGGAACTAAATACTACTTGTATAAAAACCAGGGACCGAACATAACAGTTATTGATGAAAACTGTCATGGAAAAATTCGCTATGAAGGAAATGTTCTACACTAAGTGAAACATACCAATCGATTTCGTTTTGCACCGAGACTCCAATTTGAAAATAAATTTTTATTTGCAATTTTTATGCAAAATATAAAAAAATAACAATTATATTTGATTTTTATATTAGAAATCCAAAATAACAATTATTTTTGATTTTTATATTATATGGCTTAGATAACAGTTATTGAAGAGTTTTATTTATAAAAGTCATCAATAAAAATCAGTCAGTGACTTTTACTTTTAAAAGTCATTAATATAAATCAGTGACCGACTTTTATTTTTTAAATCAATCGTATAAAAGTCATTAACATTTTTCGCAGTTAAGAAGGTGTTGGAAAACAAAAGTTTACTACGACTTATTCAAATGACTTTTATAAGTATGATTGAAAAAATAAAGATCAGTGACTGATTTTTATTTATGACTTTTATAAATAAAAGTCTTCGATAACTGTTATTTAAGACATATAATTTAAAAATCAAAAATAACTGTTATTTGCAGATTATTTAAATAAAAATCAAAA